ATACGGCTCTGTATCGCCCCGCTTGTTGGTACCGCCTAGTGGCGATAAGCTAAACTTGTGAGGCTTGTCAAAACGCGTGTACACACATTTCACGTGCCGTCGACCAGTTCCGGTAACTAAAGGGAGGTTGTTTTGTCTGTCATTTTTCTAGGTTTCTGCACAATTCGCTATTACACGCCGCCGTGTTTCTCTACAGAAACATTGAGAACATTTTAGCGAGTTCTCCGAAATATAGATAGCGGTAATTTGTATTACTGCATACTTAAAATTATACCCCCTAACCGATCTAATTCAACATTGTATGAGCTCTGCAGCTTCGCATCTTTCATTTCATTTCATTTATTAATCCTTAAGGGTCCTCTGTCGAGGACATTACATAAGGAGGGGGCAACACAAGAAATTATACAAGAAATGAAAAAAACAACAACATAAAAATTACATAACAACGCACACTCATGCAACGTAGCTAAAATTGCATATCAACGCACTCTCATGCAACGTAGCTAAAAAAAAAAAAAAAAAAAAAAACTTAACTTGGTGTGGAAAAATACGACATGATTGAGCTTTTGAAAACCACAGGGTCAGTTATTGTAATGAGCGATTCTGGAAGACTGTTCCAGTCCACAATTGTTAGTGGGAGAAATGATTTGTTAAAGGCATTACTGGAACCCGATATACGTTGAAAATTGTAAGAGTTATTGAGCCGACGAGATGACCGTGCGGGAGTGCGCAGGAATGAGCTTCGAACAGTGGGATGGTAGTGGTAAAGTTTATGGAGTAAGCAAAGGCGTGCAACCTTGCGTCGTACCTCCAGAGTTAGTAAATTTAGGCTCGTTTTCATGGCAGAGACACTGTTTTTATAGTCATAGTTTGATAAAATGTAGCGAGTTGCTCGGTTTTGAATTGCTTCCAGTCGGGTGATTAAGTAATTTTGGTGCGGATTCCATATTGTAGATGCATATTCCAATTTTGGTCGAATTAAGGTTTCGTATGCAAGTTTCCTAAGCCTTGGAGGAGCGGCATTCAAGCAACGCCGGATGTAACCAAGGGTCCTTGCTGTGTCCGAAGAAATTGTGTTAATGTGATTAATCCATGTCATATCGGAAGTTAGTACGACACCGAGATATTTATACCTATCGACTTCTTCAATGATCTCGTCGCCCAGCACATACCGGAAGGAGGAAGGAACTATTTTACGAGAAAAGTGGATTAATTTGCATTTAGATTTATTTAGTGGCATCAACCAGGTGTTACACCACTGAGATATATTATCTAGGTCCTTTTGGATGAGTTTGCGGTCATTAGGTGAAGTGATCTCGCGATATAGAACACAGTCGTCTGCAAAAATACGTATGTGAGAAGAAATAGAATTTGGAAGGTCATTAATAAATATTAGAAAAAGAAGAGGCCCAAGGACTGTGCCCTGGGGCACGCCAGATGTGACATTAATTAAATCAGATTCGTACCCATTTAAGACTGTGTACTGCATTCGCGAGTCAAGAAAATTACGTATCCACATTAAGACGTGGGGGTCTAGATGAAGGCGGGAAAGTTTAGAGATTAAACGAATATGTGGGACACGATCAAATGCCTTGGAGAAGTCTAAAAATATTGCGTCTGTTTCGTTGCGAGATTGAAGGCTGCAATGAAGGTCATGTGTAAATTCAAAGAGTTGCGTCTCACAAGAGTAACCTTTGCGAAAGCCATGTTGGTGATGGTAGAAGAAGTCATTGTAATCTAAATGCGACATTATATGCGAATAAATGATATGTTCAAGAAGTTTAGATGGAACGGAAGTTAGTGAAATGGGACGATAGTTAGAAGGCAAGGAACGATCATCACTTTTGTGGACTGGAACAATCCTACCTACTTTCCAATCGGATGGGAGGCAACCTTCGGATAGTGACTGATTAAATATCAGTTGCAAAATATCACTAGATACAATCTTAGTATTTTTCAGAATCTTCGATGATATGTTATCTGACCCTGAGGATGATGAAAGCTTGAGCCCATCGATAAGAGTGACAATACCGGCCGATGAAACGTTGATAGGGGCCATGGGCTCGTAGTGAACAGTGGGTAGCTCAGGCACATTTAAAGGACACTCGTCGGTGAAGATGGATGCGAAAAAGGTATTCATTACCTCTGAGCACATTTTTTCCTCAAATGGGTTGCCACCCTCATCGACAAGTTGAATCATATCATTGTTGTTTTTTGACGTGATTATATTCCAAAACTTTTTGGGGTTGTCCTTAAGGATAGTTGGAAGGTCCTGATTGAAATATTTTCTTTTTGAAGCTTTTATTAGATGAATATAATCCTTAAGGCAATTATAATACTTGTCCCAAATATTTGAACAGCTGGTCAGTCTTGCTTTGCGAAAGAGGCGTTTTTTCTTATTGCCAAGTGATTTAAGTCTTTTGTTATACCAGGGCTGGCAACCATCACTTCGGATCCGCAGAGTAGGTACAAATGCCTGAATAAGGTCATTCAATTCATTTTTATATAAAATCCAGTTGTCATTCACACTCCTTAGATTAAAATGGATTTGGTACGACTGCAAGAAAGTGGTCAAATTTCTGTTCATTGACACGAAATCTGCTCTACCGTAGTCCCGTATCACCCTTTTGACAGGCATCTTCACCAAAATGGGAAGGGACAGCGAGATGTGCAAAAGTTTATGGTCACTGAATCCATTGCTGTAGGTAACGGATCGAACAAGATCAGGGGAGGACGTTAGTACAAGGTCAAGGATGTTATCCCCACGGGTTGGGCTCAAAAAGACCTGGGTTAGATTAAAAAGCAAACATAGTTCCAGAAACTCGCGAGAATCACGTGATGCATCGGCTGTTAGACTTGACCAGCTTATGTTGGGAAAGTTGAAATCTCCGAATAACAGAAGGTTCGCTTTTGGAAAACGTTCAGTTATCTCCAATAGGACTTTATGCAATTCACTTGTGAATGCAGAGTCACTTTTCGGGGGTCTGTAGCAGACAACAAGTACAGTCTTAATTATAGCCGAACAAAGACAGACACAAGTAATTTCCAAACTGCATTGTAACTGAATGCAGAACGAAGTGATATGCCTTTTGACTCCGATAAGAACACCACCACCGCGTTGGAGTGGCCTGTCCTTTCGGTAGATACAGAGATTAAGGTGATCGGGAAATAGCTCGTCATCGCGAACATCTGGCTTCAACCATGTCTCGGTCAGCACAGCAATATCAGAATTACTATCTTCCAAAACACTGCACAGTTCCTCTCTTTTATGCATGAGGCTGCAAATATTAGTGAAAGAAACGTGATATGACGAACTTTTTGTTACCGTACGTGTTAATGAACTGGGAGCATTACGAGATGGGCTTATTACAGAGCGTAGTTATGCAGAAAATTCTTTTACACGGTCTGATGCAGCGTCATATACAAAGCATTTGTTTAGCATACGGAGTTTATCGAAACGAATCTTGAATGGGACGTTTTGTGGCGTTGCGAATTGAAACAGCTTACTCCGTGCTAATCGAACAGAGGGTGATAAGTCTTCTCGTACAGCAAATTGGGAGCCCTTCAGTTTAGATCCCGATGCCAAGACTGCGGTTTTATCTTTGAACCTCAGAAACTTTACAATAATCGGTCTGTTTTTCTCAGGGCAAAAACGACCCAAACGATGAGATCGTTCAAGATTGTTGGCATCTAGCGTTAGTTCAAGCCTCTCCCTACAAAACTCGAGTATCTTCTCTTCTGATTGAAACCAAGATTCAGAATGCGAATCTGGGATGCCAAGAAACAAAAGATTTGACCGCCGAAGCCTGTTCTCTGCGTCGTCACACCTGGTCCTAATTTCCAAGAGCTCAGAGTTTACTGTGTTATCGTTGTCAATGGGTGGGTTCTGGGGTGCTTGTAACGGGACCGCCGCGAGATTGCGTTCGACCGCAGCGACCCTCTCCAACAGTTGATTGACCAGTGTGTCCGTCGTTTTTTGATTGTTTTGAAGCGACGTGATTGACGCTAGCATTGCGGACTGTCCAGCCTCTATTCGCTACACAGCTGCTAGAATAGACTCTAGTTTATCGGTTTCTATGGGGCCGGGGTTTAGTTCTACGTCACCCGATAGAATGAGAAGCTGCAATAGAAACGCCACGTAACTATAGTTCAGAACTGGACACAGTAGCTTTTTTTTACACAAATCAACCAGGTCGTTGGGGCACGACATCGCAAGCAGGCAAGGGTCATCATCGTGAAAACATGCGGCATTTTTAAAGTAACTAACCTGCACCAAAAACAAGGTCATCGTAGTTTCCGTGACGATGCCGCGCCCCGACTGGTAGAGCTGCGTTGAGTGCTTTTGAAGACATGCATCGGATATGGTTCCAGGTTGCCAGGCGAAGAAGTTTTCGTCGTTCAGTTTTGGCGGGATGTAAGCCGGGTCGTCGGGCGTATCCACCATGCAGAAGGTGCTCGCGTCCAAGAAGAAAGGGGCGTTGACGGTGAGTGTGCATCCAGGAGGGGCAGTTGGCTGCGCCGCTGACAGGGCAGCGGATAGCAGCATCTGCACCAAAAACAAGGTCATCGTAGTTTCCGTGACGATGCCGCGCCCCGACTGGTAGAGCTGCGTTGAGTGCTTTTGAAGACATGCATCGGATATGGTTCCAGGTTGCCAGGCGAAGAAGTTTTCGTCGTTCAGTTTTGGCGGGATGTAAGCCGGGTCGTCGGGCGTATCCACCATGCAGAAGGTGCTCGCGTCCAAGAAGAAAGGGGCGTTGACGGTGAGTGTGCATCCAGGAGGGGCAGTTGGCTGCGCCGCTGACAGGGCAGCGGATAGCAGCATCTGCACCAAAAACAAGGTCATCGTAGTTTCCGTGACGATGCCGCGCCCCGACTGGTAGAGCTGCGTTGAGTGCTTTTGAAGACATGCATCGGATATGGTTCCAGGTTGCCAGGCGAAGAAGTTTTCGTCGTTCAGTTTTGGCGGGATGTAAGCCGGGTCGTCGGGCGTATCCACCATGCAGAAGGTGCTCGCGTCCAAGAAGAAAGGGGCGTTGACGGTGAGTGTGCATCCAGGAGGGGCAGTTGGCTGCGCCGCTGACAGGGCAGCGGATAGCAGCATCTGCACCAAAAACAAGGTCATCGTAGTTTCCGTGACGATGCCGCGCCCCCCTGTGTCCGATAAGATCGATAAGATCTGTGTCCGATAAGATCGAAAATGAAGGCTTTATTGTCGTAATGCCAACTTGTTGATTTTTTATTATTCCGTCAGGTGTTTGGCGAAATTGTTTGACACGAAACTTGCCATTATGAAAGAAACCTCCAGTGGCATCCGTTTTTACGTATACTAAATGAGGTCACAAGAAGGACCAGCAGCATTTTCAGTTATCCAGCCTCGAGCACAAGCTTCCTAGCTTAAGACTTCGATCTCTCGTAAGCTTTGAGGCGTCATACGTAGCCAACGATCGACGGAGGTCACTGAATGTGTGATGGAAGATAAATGTAAAACAAAAGAAAACTCTGAGCTGCTTATCCTTAGTCGCTGCAAAGTATATTCGCTTGCCCACGTTGGCTTCCCCGCATACAGGCGAGCAAAATGTGGAGCACCCTTTAGAGGGGCCGTTGGACATTTGTAAAATAGACTTTTTGCTCCAAATCGTTTACAAATAACTTACAGCCTGTCGAGGGATGATGGCGATATAATCATTTTAATAGAAGAAGAATAACCAATAAAGTTTAATCAGACTCCTTTTTAGCGTTTTTTTGCTTGGCGACTTGTATTTTTCTTGATTGTACTTTTCGCGACCCACTTTGAAGGCCATCTAGATGTGAGATATCATATGTGTGAAGAAAGATAATAACACGGGTGAGCTGATGAACGACATTCAGAGTAAACAAAATACAGCCTAAAAATTAAAAAAAAGGATATGAACACGGACAGAACAACAAAGTTCTAATGAGACTTCGTCGTTCTGTTTTTTATTCGTCTACTATTCCTCTGTCTCGGGTTTACTATTAATATCAAACGCGCCTTGGGCAGACTGAATTCTAACTGTTGCAAATTCTATACTTCAAATTATTCAATACTTCAGTACAGAATAAGCTATATTGCTGTTAATATAAATATTTTCTTTTTTGGTTTTTGTTTCCTTTCGACATACCGCCACTCTCGGCTGTCGACCTTTAACAATATTTCTAGCAAAGTTAACGGCGCTTAATTTTTTTTGTAGCCTGTAATCGGAGACAACTAAACAGACGCTTCTTTTCGCAAGTAAGCTAGCACCTGAATAGACACCGCCCCTCTCCCTCCCCTCAACTCACTTCTTCCTAATACACGACCGTTTCTTCACAAGTCATTAGCTTCGGCTTTGTCGCCGCGACTATTTTTTCCCGGCGAACAATTTTCCACCCGACTTGGGACGCCGGCCGCCGCCTTTAATCCCCGGATTAAGGGATTAACGTTTTCTTCGACACACGACGAAACATTCCTTTATTCAGCCCCACCCGCTTACGCGATTCCTTCGATTATGCACACTCCTGCCGCGGGCGCTGCCGCCACGAGCGCACCCGAGCTCACGCAAAACTTCCAACACAAAAGCAACACAAAATGCACTTCCTTCACAAAAGGTACCTTTTCTTTTTGTCACGGACCTAGTTTTCACACGATTGCACGTGCTTCTGTTTTTTTTTTTGTACGCGCGTTAACCGTTATCGCATTCAGCGTTTACTTTGCGTATTCCAACCATCTCTCTCCCCCTCCCCCCACACACGAACAAAATAAGGTACAGCGGCTTAATGCCTGTGCGTGTCTTGTCCTTGCGTGCACTGACGCGTTTGCCACGGGCGGGGAACGCTGCGTCGACGCGTGCGGCGGCTCACGTTAATGTAATCCTCACGTAACGGAACAAAAAAAGACTGCATCGTGTCGAGTCATTGTTTCCGGGCTGTACGCGCTCTCGAATGAGCCGCCGTTTTTTGTCGATTAAATTGCGCCCGATTTTTGTGTTCGTTGTTTGAGTTCGGTTCCAAACCATCTTAGTTTCACAAAAAGGAGGACCTGCTTTTTCGCGCGGCTTTTGAGTGGATGAACAGGGAAAGGGAGAGAGGGGGGGGGGGGAGAGGGAAGCGAATCTGATACCTCTTTTCGTTAATCTCGATTTCTTCTCACATCTTTTTGTTTTGATTTTTGAATCAATCGGTAATTTGAAGATTTTGTTTTTGAAAGGAAGGAACAACATCGTTAAACGCTTATCTTCTTTTTTTTTTTGTCTCAAAAATGTTGTATCCCGTTGTCTTCTCTCGTTTCACGTTTTAAGGGAGAAAAAAAAAGGAGTGGGAGGGCGTGTCGTGTTTCCTGAGATTTCGAATCGATTCCAAGTCGATGCGCGTTAGGTGGTTGCGCGCGCGAAGCGATATGGCCTTCTCCTCGGCAGAATCATTTTTTAATGCGCGTTGCTTCCCAATTTTTTGCCCCTTTTCTTTCTGTTATAATACGCTCATTTCTATCAATGTTTTTTTTTAATCTTTTCCCTGACTTCTTAGGTTCGCCAGCCATAGAAAGCTGCATGTTCTACGATGTGGATCTCGCTGCCAATAATGAGGTTTTTAATACGAATTCCTCGCTATTATCCGGATCCTATCTTTATCACTGGTTACCTAATTTCCTTACGTTTCAAGCCAAACGACGCTGCATGTTCTACGAAGTGGAGCCCGCTGCCAATATTGCGTTTTTTAATACGAATTCTACCCCATTCATTTTCTTCTTTTTCTTTCTTTCTATTGCTGCCATAATACGATATCTCTCTTTCTCTCTCTTCCACTCTCTCTCTGCTTACTGCTTCCCTAATTCCCTAGCATTTCCAGGCATACATCGCTCCCTATTCTACAAAGTGGATCTCGCGGCGAATATTGCGGTTTGTGGTTTGATCTTATTAGCCGCTTTATCTCTTCCCTATTTTTTATCCTCGAATTTTGCAACCTTACACTCATTGCTTAAAAGAGGGATTCTTTACATTGTTTCATGTTTACATGGCAATACATTTTCGACTAGAATGCATTCAATTACATTGGGCTGGGATGGCTGGAACGCTATTGGATCGGAGCGCCGACTTGTTTGTATTTTGTGAAATTAAGACCCTAATTTGTTTACGTGGTGTCCCTAATATCAAGATAATTAAACATAAAAAATTTCGTGTGTGAGCGATATATGAGTATTTTATTAAAGAAACAAAATATGCGGTTTCCGCTAATACGAGTGGAAGTTTTTGGAGCTTCCTTTGCTACATGTAGCGGTTGGATTTTTTATCAACAAAAGCATTTACTCTGTGGATAAATTCAACTTGTATAATGTGATATAAATATGTTTTTTTTTGTGAATTTCACTCCTCATTATCTGAGAAGAGTATTCACAAATTGAATTACGCCAAACCACGCACTTTGGTTGTGGTGTTCAAACGTTATCGAAAGTATATTAAATTGTCTTGGCTCGGTATGAGGTACGACAAAACAAGCCACACCAGTTTGGAAGCAACAGGCGCGTACAGCATATCTAATAATTTTAGAAAATGTTGTACAGAACAAGAAACTTGTTTTGTTTTTTTTTGTCTTCAAGTTGCAGCATTTCACACGGGCTGGAAGAGCACACGAAACGCAAAATCGCGCGAATTGCTCGCGTTTTCTGTGGAAGACAACATAAAAAATAACACAGCTGTATGCGTGGTACACGTTCGTCTGCTTCTTTCACAGGGGTTGCGATGATATGACTACACCTAACTCTTATTGGCTGATTAAAAAAAGAAAGAAAAAACAATTGTAGGGTAGACGTAAAGGCATCTAACATTGAATCTACCCACTATCCTTTCAATAAAAGGCCAATCGGAGCTTTTGTCATTTCGACTTCACCACAACTCCTGCGCAAGAAGAAGATGACATGCTCTCCACAAAATCAGCCGACACAATCTGCACTGACGCCCACAGCACAGTCCCGCTAAATGTAACATAAAGCGTGCGATAATGCAAGAAAACGAAATTACCCAAATCTGTGTTTTTTTTTTTTTTTTTAAGTTAGAGCTCCACTATCACTCCGAACCAATGAAGCTTATTGAAAAGCGCAAGATCCCGACATATTTCGTGTTTCTATGCGTGGGTTACCGTAAACTGACCGAATCAGGCCGCAGAATGCGTCGAGATATTACGTTTTTAGTGTGCGTTTGTGTTTGTGTTGCAACACGTTTTTAGCTCGCTCGGACTTCAGACGAAACAGATTACAAATGGACGTACCGCGTCTGATTTCCAACAAAAAAAGAAAAGAAAAGCTCTACTTCACGTGCTCAAAACGTGTTCAACATCCGGTCGACCAAGATGGCGGCGCGCGGAAGAAGAATATTGGAATGGCCTATTCCGCATTACGCTTAAGAGTTAAATTGACCAACAAATTGATTTCTGAATCTTTACCTAGGAACATAACAAGGTTCTTATGGAACATGTCCTCCCAAGAGCATATTCGAGTGAGTTCTATACTTTGTTTCAGCTTCGGTCCGAGCGTGGCCGATGTTATGAGCCGAAGGGCCAATCCAACAGCGCAAAAAGCGCAGCGTCATGGCGTGCTTTCTGCGCTTGATAGGACAAGCCGGCGGAGGGGCACACGTAGAGAGACTACGAATACCGGCTGGTCCTATAAACTGCAGAGAGCACGCCGTGACGTTGGGCCTCTTTCGTTGTTTGATTGGCCATTCGGCTCATAACATCGGGCGCGCTCGGACCGAAGCTGGAACGAAGTATAGAAGGAATTTAAAAATTGTGCTTACTACACCTATCCGCACTTTAAAATATGCGTGACTTTACGGAGACATCGTTTGAATCATTATTTTTTGCTCTCAACACGTAAACAAAGCAAAAAAAAAAAAAAAAAAAGAAAAAAAAAAACGTGTTTTTGATGTGTGCGTAAGATTTATAAAACATATTGTATAAGTCATCTTTACGTTTCATGGATGTTTCATTGACGCATGGGTGTTTCATGGCCATTTCATGGACGCGCGTAGAATGCAAATGAGTCGCTGAA